ATATATATATATATATATATATATATATATATAAAGTTAATAAAAGAATCAATTTATTCGCATATGACTTCTTTTTGAACGGTTTGAATTTGAATCATTGAAGAACGCACTTACACATTCGTCCAATGAATTAACCGGCCACTCATTTTACATGCGGAAGTGAAATTCGGATGGCCCAGGGTATGGAAAGCTGGAAAAGGCAGAAGAATTCATAAAAAAACGTCCAATCATGTGGTCACGTTACCCTGACTGATGTTTAGTACACTGCCAAATATACAAAATGAATAACCGTATCTCAAAAACGTGCAGTATGACCATCATCAAAATTGTTTAATGGTGGTCACGGTTTCCAGTTCATTGAACCATCTTCTTGGTAATTTGCACGGTGATTTTGAGAGCTGTCTTTCAGCCGCACATTTGGTCGAACGAAGAGAATCAGCAAGTATATGGAAGAAATAGAAGATAACACAGATACTAATACAAAGATACATGAAGCACTTCAACCATACTTTGCAGAAATTGGAAGCTAGTAAAAACTCAGGTTCAGAATCGTATAAAATGCCTTGGATGGATAAAGAAAGTGTAACTTGACTTGACTAGTGATCTATCCCCAGAAGTGAATGCCGTGGGTTAGGATTGATCAGTCTTCCCTCGCACCTCGTGAAAGGCATCTATACGAACAAGCATCTCAAACGGCGTGTGATAGAAGCTGTACGGGCTACCCTTGCTTGACGGTGCTTTAGCACCCCCATCACGATGAGACTGCACCCTGACGTAGTGTGATGGCTTGTGCACCTCTGACCCAACGAGCTACAGCTTTTGTGAAGCCGAAGATCTAATCATGCCTGGAAGGTCGAAGGATAGAGGTCGGACGAAGTTCAGTCTCCTGGTCCTCCAGATTGGGGTTCGACTAGAATTTGCGTTTTATTCGGTAAAGAATAGTGGGGGGATAATTGATCCAAGTACATGGGCCTCCACTTCGCACCCGCTGCCTTGCGGCTAGGTTCTTATCAGAACTAAAGGCTTTGGTTGAGAACCCTATTTGTTCTCCTGCTTTAGTGGCTGGACACCCGATTAGTCCCCGTCCATCAAACCTCAGTGCATATGCATTGCGAGTTTGGCAGCGATCAATGAAGTTCGCTTCTCTGTATTTTGCGGTACGATGATGATGACGAGCACCACACCGCGGATGAAACTTTCGGCGCTATAACCTGGTCGATGAACCAATGGCAGTTTACCTGGGGCAGTTGACAAAAATCATGTGCACGAATCCCAATCACATTACTGGCTGTGGCAGTGATCACCGATTTGATTAGCCATTGAGGTTTATGGGGCGCATTGGACGTTTATATCGCCCTAAGGGAGATGGCCTGATAAACTGGACACCAGCTACCAGTGGGTTGCGGTTTTCATATAACGCCTCACTGCCTGGTTCTGATGAGTTGAGAGTTCCGGCTGTGAATTCTCGAAAAGTTCATCTTCTTTGGTCTGGAAACAGTGGCTTCTTTGTACAGACTCTACTCGGAAGAGGGTCACATAATGAAACAGAAACTTCGGGGGCCGGAAATGGGTATCTTGGATTGTGGCTTGTCTCCTTCCCTTACACCCCACGAAATGCCCCTATAAGACCCAGCGCCTCAAACAGTCTCTGCTAAGGAAGCCCTACTAACTGCCTTCTCAAGGCGGTGTTTTCCCACCAGAAAGAGAGGACGAAAAGCCAATATCCGGGGCTATAACCGGGTTGGTGAACCACTGGCAGTTCATTTAGAGCTGGCTAAAAACCCTAATTCTAAACCAACCAAGAGGCGTACGAATCACACCCACACGTCCCTGGACGTGCAGTGGTCACCGGATTAACTGGGTACCCGTGTGTATTGAGCGCCTTGGACGTTTGACCCCGTCTAAGGGCATACAATCTGATGAACTGGACAGCAGCCTCGAATCGACTACGGTTTTCACGCATCGCCCCGCTACCTTTTGGGTCAGGCTTTGGCTAGCCGAAAGCCACAGTTGTGAAACCCCCGAGAAAATTTACTTGCCTTGGTCTGGGCAACCTGGCAATACTACGCCCATAAACAAATCGTGGAGCGTTCTCTTTCTTATAAAAATTATTGTACTACGATTTGTTTTGAACAATCTGGATTAAGGCGTGTGTGAAATACAGCTTACGACACTCAGTCTAGTAGACCATCATTTAGACAGATCTCGAGGTCCTCTACGTAGGAGTCTAACGGGGCCTGTATTTCTTCAAATTCTATTACACGCATGTGGGTGATCAGCAACAGATGAGTTGAATCCCATCATGGAAACCGGTAACCTACTCCCCGGGCCTTGGCTTGGCGAACCACATAATGCCCCGCTTGGTCAGGTGTGGCGTTGAGCCGGACGACAGCAAAGCTGTCTGCCACCAAAGTTGGGTGGTGGTAATATGGCTCGAACCTCGAACCATAGGCTCTAAAGCACGCCGGGGACAGCGACTAAACCACTGCACAAGTTACGATTAGCTACGGTTTTCATCCTCGAAAGCGAGAGCAAGTCTCCTCGCCGGTCAGTCAGCATATGGGTCGTACTATCCTACAGTTTACTTTCAAAGAGAGAAGTAAAAAGTAGAAACACAAAGGCTTTTTGTAATTGATGTGGTCAACATACAACTGCAGATGGAATAGTCGAAACGGAATCTGTCTGAAGACAAAAATACGAGCTTTCCTTGCAGCAGTCAATCATATCTTGCTGTATGGCTGCGAAACCGGGCCACTCAGAGTCGAAGATTGTGGCGCAGTGATTTATTCGCTGTCACCGGCATGCTTTGGAGCCTATGGTTCGAAGTTCGAGTCACACTATCACCACCCGACTTTGGTGGCAGACAGCTTTGATGTTCAAGCGGGGCCTTATGCGGGTCGCGAAGCCAAAATCCGGGGCGTAGGTTACCGGGTTAAACCAATGAACTGCGGGTTATCGTGACTATGGGGTTTGCCCTGTCCGCCGTTCATCACACGGGTGTACGCAATAAAAAAGGATCAGAAGTTTTCAACCACTGGTGCCTGAAAATCATAGAGGGATCTACTCCCAAATAAAGAAGTCAGAAACTGGCGTTTTATTCTCATACAGCTACGTACGCTTAAACAGCGGTAACGAGTGCAACCATTTGGTCACAATTTGTGAATTGGACGACCGTACCAAAAGATGCCTAAGTACTGACACACTGCCCAAACTGGCACTACTGACGCGGTGAACAGTTGAAAACCTGGCCACGCAAGAAAGCAGAAACTTAGACTCTGCACTCAACATACCTATCTTAACTCTGCGCTTTTATCCAAATGGGCAGTTAAAAGACAGCAACCAAAACCGGTGGATGAAAATGCATGACTGATGATTGTGAAGGCTGAAACTGAAACTGCTTTTCGCTCCGTCAGCGACAATCAATACAATTCAGGCTGGATCTGCGCAGATATTCATGAAGCTGATTTATCCCATTCCTGAAGTCAGCCACCGTAAACTAGTCAGATGGAATAGGCTGTTCACAAAAAGTAGCTAACCAAGTAAACGGACATTAAAATTCAGTATGCATAACGTTTCAAAGATGATGTCGACAAAACCTAGAAGTTTCATACATCCACCTCCATTTAGGAATTTCATAAGAACAAGAACAATCATCATCATAAAACAGATTGAATTCAACTGCTCCGTATTATCTCTTCAGCTGTACACATTGATATGAAAGTCCGATCAGGGCTATGACAAATCTTTAAACATCAAAAACTATCGACTAGGCAAATCAATGTAAAGGTCAAAGTTCAACAGACACACACGGGTCGAACACATGGAAAGGGTGGGAGAACATGCTTATGGATCGGAAACCACGGTGACAGTCTCACTAGCAGAGTAAGGCTGGTCACAGTATCCAGTTGTTTGCATAGGTTTGGTTTGTGACACCGAATTGCTACGGACTCAGCAAACCGTAATAACCGCCCAGTATTTTTGTTGGCTGGACACCCGGAATTCTTGCGGTGCATCGATGAAACGTTTGTAGTCTAATGTGGCGGTTTCAGTTTCAGTTTTTACAACCATTAACCATGCACTTTTGTGCGTCGGTTTTGGTTGCCCATTTGGATAAAAGAGCGAAGTGAAGATAGGAATGTCGAAGCAAATTCAAGCGGAAGATGGGGAATACATATAGAGTGGTGTTAAGAGAATAACGAGTGGATGCACGAACGCCACTGTTTGCGACACCNCCCAGCCATATCACTCAGTGTAGCTAACCATCGGTGACCATCATCCCGAGGTCTCCAGCCAGGGAGCCTAACGGGGCCTATGTGACCTAGTTTCCTGGTTAGGGTTTTCACACCCTCATGCCAGGTCTTAGCTTGACCATCCTTTGCTTTTTTCCAATCGCTACCAGCCTTGGCAAACATCGTTCGCCGTGGCAACCTAGCTGGTGACATGCGTAGCACGTCCCAACCAGCGTAATCTATGGAGGTCGATCACTTGATTTAGTGGACGATCGCGACTGCCTGAAACTCTACGCCTAACCTCAGCATTGCTAGTCCGGTTACCACACCAGACACGTGCAATGCTACGTAGACAGCGGTGTTCGAACATCGACAATCTATTTTTATCCCGTACTGGCTAAGTCTCTGCACCGTAGAGCAGGACTGGCCGAACTGCTGCAGCATACACTCGACCCTTCACCGACAGCCGGATATCGCGACGGCGCCACAGTTGCTGCAGCATACACTCGACCCTTCACAGACAGCCGGATGTCGCGACGGCGCCACAAATGCTCAAGTTAGCAAATGCCAACCGAGCTTTTTTGTATGCGCGCCGACAGTTCATCTGTGATGCGTCCGCCGGGTGAGATATAGCTGCCTGCGCGCGCCGACACTTCATCTGTGATGCGTCCGCCGGGTGAGATATAGCTGCCTAGATAGCACGCCGACACTTCATTCGTGATGCGTCCACCGGGTGAGATGTAGCTGCCCAAACAACAAAACTTCGACACTTCATCTGTGATGCGTCCACCGGGTGAGATAGCTGCCTAGATAACAAAATTTGTCTACTTCCTCTACTACTTCCCCAGTTAGGGTGAGACTGGGTGCTGGATCAACCCAATCTTGTAGTAGCATTTTACACTTTGAAGGTGCAAAACGTATACCGAACAACACTAGCACTCAAACTATCCAGAGCTTGCAACTTACCTGTATCTTCACTTAGTAGCACAATGTCGTCTGCATACTCTAGATCAGACAGTCTGCCACCTGGAAGTAAATCGATGCTATCCCTGCACGAGTATAGGGCTGTTTCAAGAATTATGTCCATGACAAAGTTAAATAGAAAAGGAGAGAGAGGGCAACCCTGTCGAATGTGGCGGGCAATAGGGTAAGAGGGAATCTTGGAGGCCATGAGCGCTAATTTCTCGGAACGAGTTCTGAGATGCTAGTGACCAAACGTCTCTCAGTTCTTCCGATAAACATACTGCCGAAAGTGCATTGAAACAGGTAAATACACCAGGTAAGTTGAGAGTTCAGCCTGTTCAAGTTGAATTCAGTAATCATTTGTCTGTTTTTATGGAGAATAATTAGCGAAACGGCGCGGCAGATTCTTGAAAGACATTGTTTTAGTCAACGCCATTAGTTTCTCATTCTGATCACCTCTAAAGGGTAATATATTTATATTATTACACGCATGAATCCAGACTGTGCCAAACGAATCACGGTACAATAATATTAATGAAAAAACGTTCTATGATTTGCATTATTTGCTTGTGGGCCGAATACTGCCAGGATGCCCAGGTCAAGGCAGGTGAATTCTCTTGATGAATCCACAATCGGAGCCTTTGGCTAGCCAAAGCCTGACCCGCAAGGCAGCGGCGCTGGTATCTAGTTCATCGGATTATCCGCCCTTCAGACGGGGTCAAACATCCAAGTTGCCCAATATACCTCGATGCCCAATCGAGCCGATGACCACTGCCACAACCAGGAAGTTGTGATTCGTACGGCTCCTCGCGGCTGGTTTGGAATCAGGGTTTTTTGCCAACTCCCCTAGGTGAACTACCAGTGGTCCACCAGCCCGGTCATAGCC